AGGACAGGGCAGGGCAGGTGGGCGGGCAGGGCAGGGCAGGTGGGCGGGCAGGGGCTGGGTGCCCGGCCTTGGGGATGCAGAGCAGGACTGGGCTCGTGGGCGGGCAGGGCCGGGGGCCGGGGGATGTGGAGCGCGCTCCTGCAGAGCAGGTGAACCGGGAAGGGACCGGGCCGGTCAGGTTTTACCAGGTAGACTCCGGACCGCGCAGGGGGCTCCGGCGAGGCCTTTCGCTGTGGAAGCTGGCGGGGCTCCGGGCACCGGCTGCAAGCACAGAAACGGACGGTCAGAGCAGGGGCCGGAGCGGGAGCAGCCGCGGCCCGGCGAGAAGTAAACAGGCAGCCGCAGGAAGCCATTAGGGAGAGTGGGCGCTAATGAGCGCGCCGCGGGGCCCCGCCGCCTCCGTGCACCGCCCGCGCCCGGGACGCCGGGACACCGCGATTGGAGCCCGGAACCCCGCTGGCAGGCCATAAACCTGTTTGTGGTCTCCCCCGGTTCCCCCACGGATGCTGAGATCTCCGCCCTTCCCACGTCCTCGCTGGCCCTGGGGACCCGCAGTGCAGGGGGCGGCAGCGCAACCTGATCCAGGTACCCTCACCCCCGCTCCCCGGACCCTGAGTAGCCGCCCTGGGAAAGCAGCAGGGTTTGGCCCACCCCCACCCCTCCGAATCTTTGGAAACCGTCAGGGACTTGGCTCTCCAGATGGTCCTCTGAGCCCCTCTGGTCCTAAACCGAGCTCCAAGCAGCGGTGGCCTGTCGTGCACCGCCATCTGAAAGAGTTCGGGTTACTTGCAGCTGGGTTTGCTTTTTCTGAGGTCAGTTTTTCCACCTCTTGTAGACCCAGCCTCCTATAGACAAGGCCTGCCTCGCGGTGCGGCCGGAGCAGCCCCAGGAGCAGCCCCAGGGATGCGGGCCCCCGCCTTCTCTGGCTTCCTTGCAGCGACTCCCAGGGGCCATCTCGCGCACCTGCCATTGGGGTCCCTGACGCCTGCGGCCTTGGGCCAACCCCAGTGGGCCTTCTCTGGTCGGCCCAGACCACACACGGAGGGGCTGAGGAATTCCTTGCCTTTTAAGCCTTCTTGACTTAACTGGCTGAGGAAGCGCGTGGGAAAGAGCGCTGACGGTAAATTTCAGGTGGGCCTCGATGTTTGCACGAATGTGCTCTTGGTATGAGGTAAGACGAGGATTGTTTATGAACTCCTTTATCGGAAGAATATTTAATCATAAATAGAATGTCATAAATGGTTTGGTCAATTTAAAGAGAAAGTCGCTTCAAACAATTCCACAGGAACTGTAGTGAGGAGTGGGTGTTATCCCACTAAGGCGAATCTGCTGTTGGGATTCCTGGGTGAGTGCGTGGGCACCTGCCTTTGAATTACTGTCTATTCATTTTGCTCAGTGAAAACCAATTCGAATATATTTTCATACGTTGTACACCGAGCTTCAGAACAGCACATTACAGTTCTGTGATGAAATCCCTGACACCGATTTTACTTGAACTAGAACCCAAACCAAAGGAATTTAATGTAGCAGATATATGTAATAATTGCTGTTTTTAGGTCTAAAGTGACAATTTTGGCCCTGACTCTAAAGCTTTTCAGTGTCTTGGATTAGATGAGTTCTTCAGCACCGTCCCCACCTAAGACTTTAGATACAGTTCCTGATGATTTCACTTTAAAACATCACAGTACATGTGTGGGAGGGGTTTTATTATTTTTAAGTTTGAGAGAGAGAGAGAGAGAGAGAGAGAGAGAGAGAGAGAAATGAGACAGAGAGACAGAGGTATCCACAGAGGTCAGAGGGTTGAGGGAGCCCTGGAACTGGAGTTACTAGCAGTTATGAACCACCCAGTGTTGGTTCTGGGAACAGAATTCAGCTCTTCTGCAAAAGCAGTGCATACCCTGAACCACTGAGCCATCTCTCCAGCCCCATGTGTGGGTTTTTTGTTTTGTTTTGTTTTTTTATGTGTATGTGTGTATTGCCTGCATGTAGGTAAGTGCACCTGTGTCGTGCAGTGCCCACGGAGGTCAGAAGAGGCTGTCGGATCCCCTGGGACTGGAATTACGGGACAGTTGTTAGCTGCCATGTGGGTGCTGAGATTCGAACCCAGGTCTTCTGCAAGAACAACCAGTATTCTTAACTGCTGAGCCATCTCTCCAGCCCCGTGTATGGTTTTTTAATAAGTCAAAGTGCATAGGAAAGCTTAAAATAGACTTCTGTTCCCTCCCGCCTCATCCCCAGGCAAGCGCCATGGAGGCCACACTGTTGGCTGTGTCCATTGAGAACTGTATTTGACCAAACCAGGCACCAAACAGGAAAGCATGCACCTACTGTGTCCTTTTCCTCTCCTGTAAGTATATAGAGTTTTTACAGTTTCACTTTCATTGTGAGGCCCCTCTCAGAACAATGCTGGCCAGGCCTCCAGAAAGACTCTTCCCTATATAAATCTTGAGTCTCCTTTATTTTTTAGGACTAACTCATTCACATTAATTTCCCAGAATGCTCCACATCAGACCCTCAACCTTAAAAGAAGCTACCCAGCCTGGTGTGGTGGCTTATGCCTGTAATCCCAGGCTCTAGGCCCAGAGTCCCCTCCACAGGTTTCCCCTGCATCTTGAACTGTCTCAGAGCACTGGAGGACAAAGAAGCCTTCAGGTCACCTTGATGACTCCAGCCACCCCCGACTGTGTCTCCCTGTGGTGACTGTCTCAGGCCTACCCAATACCCAACAAGTCTGAGCTTTTCCTCTCTCATGGCCCTTGTCCTGGCCAGTCTCCCTGTTTTATTGGTTAAGTGTTTTGTTTTGGTTGAATGTAAGAAAATTAAGAGACTTGGAAAAGTAAAACCTATATCACTTCCTTGTAAGACACCATTGTGTTCTAAGTCTCTGCCTAAAGACCCTCAAAATGGAATAAATGGAATGGAATAAATACTTCATTTTTAAACTTCGGGTGATTCAAAACAATATAAAGTCATGAGGAACCTAATAGATCTTCATACCGTAAGTATGAGGCATGAT